TAAATGCCAAAAATACTTAACTACAGCCATTAGTGTTCTGTCTTGCAGAGGAGGAGGAAGGTACCTCTTTGGGTGTCAATGTCACTGCCTGGGTCACATGTATGCTTTCTATTGGCTGTCCAGTGGGGGACTTCAGTTAGTATACACAAGCTTCAAAAGGTATTTCTTATTAAAAAATAAAACCTGCTGGTGGGGTAACTGGAGATGGGGGGAGGAGGGGGGGGGGGGATATCAAGCACATCCTGTGGCAATACTCTGCCCTGTCTCCAAATTGTTCTCCTCTGTTGGCACCCCAACACAATCTCTCCCAATGCAGACAGCAAGCTGCTCTGCCAACGCACATTGCACAGGCATGTTTTAGTGAATTGCCACTATCTGCTAGAAGACGCACCTTGCGCCTGGAGCTTCCGTAACAGTTTGGCCCCCTCAGTAACAACAAAATCCGTCCCTCCCACGTTAGGGGGTCTTCCTTTTCTGCGCCGCATCCTCGATTCTTCTCTGGCAAGCTGCCTCTCTGGATTTGGGGGGCGTCCTCTACGCCCTTCCAATGATCGGATACGTGGGACAATCTCCTCCTCTTTCAGGAGACACCACTGCATTCCCTTTAAATAGAAAGAATAAGAAAATGAAAACAATGATCAAAACAAAGCCCGGACCAAGACAGCAAAACATTGTTTTGCTTCAGATTTCAATATTATACTATTAAATTTAACTTGATTTTTTTCTAATGTATAAATTAAAAATACATTAGTACAGTAAAAAAAATCATAAAAACACAGGCAAAACAAAATTATTAAAATATATTTTACAAAAAAAGAGCATTCTATGTAAGGCATTAGTGCTGATATTTCACTGCAGTAGACCCATCCCACAGTGCCATAATAAAGGTCTTAGGGAACCCATGCAAACACAGAGGAACCCTTAAAATAATGTTCAGGTCTCATGGAAGCCCTGCTAATAAATATATAGTAATAAATAAAAGAATAAGGTTGTATTTGACACACAGGGCTGTTCTGTGTCATAGCAATATCCAAGGGGGGTGGAACATGTAGGCACCTTCTCACTACTTGGGGGGATGCCTATAAGCTTGATGTCACGCAATTAAGTACGAATGGCTCGCCAAAGAGTACATGATGATGTAAATGTAGTGTGAGCAGACATTCTGCTGGAGCTGGTGCATGTCAGGTGATAGAGTAGTGTCTGGACAATGTTTTCACACTTGTGTGATCATCTCCCTGTTCCCTGAGGGCAGTCGGTTGTCTGATCCTGCCATTGGCATAAGCCTGTGGTCTGATCCAGCTTTAAATAGTCAGATCGTGCAGCTATCATATCATGTCTATGGCTTTAGAAAACTGGGTGTCACAATTATTTTTCTCCCTAGCCTTCCAACCAAATATTTCCACCTAATTTAAATTTTATGAATTAATTTGATAAATGGTAAAGCACGGGGGAGCTGACTTGGGTTTCCTAAATAAGATTTGCCTGTGTAGTTAATTGGAACAACTTGCCTTTCTTCACTGTTTTATCGGAACATAAAAATGCAAAGTGATTCTTGTCACAGGAATGCAGTTACCATTAACAAAGAGCACTGACATAGTTTCATATTGTACACTCCATTTCCATGTTCATACAAAAGGTAATGCATCTTAATATTACTAAAATCAAATATATTTGCTCAAATGCCATTGCTGAAAAAGCAATGATCCCAAAACAAATATTACTCACTTTATCACCATTGTGTTTACCTCCCTTCATAACCAGAGACATTTTTTTCGATTTTGGAGATGTGACAGTTTACATGACAATTATTCTTTGTTTTTTACTACACCTAATGAAATCAGATACATATTTGGGTCTCGTTAAGGTTTCCTTTGGCACTATATACGGAGTATTCAATGTTCTAGCTGTATATAAAGGAGGCTCTAAGTTTTATTTTGTGGCTTCGGTTGCTGAGCTACCCTAATGAAATTTTATTATTTAAAGCTGAATTCCAGGAAGATATAAAAGATACAAAATAAGGCAGCACTGTATTCATTAATACATTAGTGCATGTATGTTTTTTTAAAGGCAAGCATAATAGGAACGTGAATTTGACTTGGCATCAACCTTTTGCAAAAACATGTAGAGCAAAGCTGAGAACGGGAGAGGAGAGGCAGCACAAGGAAACAAACAGTTGTACTGCAGTGCTCATCTGCTAACAAGGAGCAGGATGAAAGGAGAAAAGAGCAGAGTGACAGAGAGATGAGTTTATTGATAAGCTACTTCTCCTTTCACTGTCCAGTCAGAGGCTGGAGGAAGGACTAAACCTCTTAAGTTTTATTAAACTGTAACAGAGAAAAATCAGGTCTTCTTCCTTGCCAAATAGGGCTGCGTTGTGTGCCAGAGCTGTGCAAATCACAGAACTGGGTGGACAAAAAAACAAATCCTTTCACGGGTAAAACATTATTGTTATATGAGAAAACATGGTGAATTTGTTTTGTAATGTAAATGTTTTGTAATGTAAATATTTTGTCGTCCGTCACATAAAAATACATGCTAAATTCTGTAGCTTATTTTAAAATAGGGGAAAGCAAAACAGAGCACACAACTTTTTTCATTGCTATAAGTGGCCATGGCTAGGTACAAACACATTGTATTTATTAAGATCTTGTTTACTGTCACTCCTTCACAGTGGTGACATTTCCAGAAAGTACATAGATTGCTTCCTGGACTTAGAGATAACCACCCCCCACTAAAAACATTTCCCTATATACAATTTCAGAGATTTCAGTGTCTTTTTACAACTTAAATGTACCGGGAGTAGAGCTTTATCCTTTAAACTACATGAATTATAAAACTGTTGCTATGAGGAAGCCAGAATCTTGTCTTTTTCAGTGTGCTCTCAATGTAGAAGAAGACCAGTTTGTCTTGTTTCCCCATGGTTCCTCAGCTGCATCCTTTGAGAGCATGATCAATGGACTTTCAATTTTTTCTAAAGGATAATGGCTACAATCATCCCAGGGTGGAGCTTAGCATCAGAAAATGAGGTTTAGTATGAGAGATGGACCTGGCATTTACAGTGCTATGCTACATTGGGCAGCTCAAAGGAGACGGGAGCTTGCGATCATTTACTTGATACACTGATGAACACTGGGTACTCTGATGACTGCTGGGCACCTCTCTTCTAGTAGTCTAAGTGTTATCCACTGGTTAATACATTGCCACAAAGTAAAGATATGTACATAAACCACAAACAGCAGCTGTTTCTTGAGGGGACACTTGTGTACAATACATTTAAAAGCCAAAAGTATCATCAGAGCTCAGATGGCAGTGAATACAAGTCAAAACATTTGTGAGCAGGCCGTTACTCAAGTTACACCGGTAGAGAAGATTGTAATGTTTTGTGTATGAATAACAAGAAATGGGCAGATCAAGACTTGGACAGTCTGTAATCCACCCATTCTTTTTCTGAGCACTATACATCGGATATGTTAGAAAATCTCTCTGCGTGTTAACAAAACAATTCTGATGCTGTCAATACTTAGAAGTTAATGCAAAAAGGTGCTTGCACACCTAATGTTTTATGCATATTTAATATGAATAAAGCACACAGGGGGAAATTTATCATAGCAATTGCGAGTGTTTGAACTTGCACAGAATATATTTGCTGCACTTTGTGCCAGATTTATGATGGTAGTGTAATGTTGTTCATAAATGAGGTTTATTATACTCCAAGAAAGAAGTCTCATAACTCCAGGTAAAAAGCTTAACTGTCGTTGCTTGAAGAAGTGGTCATAGGGACTTCTTAAGTTGTGATTGTTTTCTCAGGTCATGCTCCAGTTTCACACAGCCCCAGAACAAGTGCAGATTAAAAAAGGTGCAAAACAAGTGCAAAAAACATGCAATTGAAAAAATAGTGCAAGCTCTGGTCAAAACAGGTGCAAGACACGTGAAGATGGAAAAGTAGTGCAAGCTCAGGTAAAAACAGGTGCACATGTTAAAAGAAGATGGAAAAGTAGTGCAAGCTCAGGTCAAAACAGGTGCACATGTTAAAAGACAGATTTGCACATTAAAAAAATGATCTACCGTGTTTCCCCGAAAATAAGACACTGTCACTTATTTTTGCTAAAAAAAAACACATTAGGTCTTATTTTCGGGGAAGGTCTTATTTTTTTTTTTTTAATGTACAACAATCCACACTTATTCATGTAGAAAAGTCTACATGTATTCATGTACAAAAATATGGTGATCAGGGCAATCAGGGGTGCGGTACCTTTCTAAGAACAAATTGCTAACCAATCGCTGGCCAGAATGAGTGACGCGCGCTTTCACTATCGATTCCTAACAGGCGGAGTGCATTTGGTATCACTTCGCCTGTGACAGGAGCCGGCGCTATAGAGGCATCGGCTTATGCGGCTCTGCTCCCTCCGGTGCCGCCTCGTTTCCTCTAGCTCTGGCTTCATTGGCACCACTGATTCTCTCCTGCCTCTCCCGCGGCTGTTCAAGTTCGCCCTTATGCCACCACTGGCCCTGGAAATGGTCACAACTAGGTCCTATTTTTGGGGTAGGTCTTATATTTTAGCAATTGCCAAAAATAGTACTAGGTCTTATTTTCGGGATAGGTCTTATTTTCAGGGAAACAGGATAAGAGGCTAAAACTGTCGCAATTGCTTTCATAAATTCCCCCCACAGTACCTAACATAAAGTTATGCATAATCTGATGGGAACACAGTCAAGTACATATCACAGCAGAGTGAGAAATCGCACCACAAAAGTGGTTACCCTTAGACTCACATGGTAGCCAAGAAAGGAGGTCTCTATGAACCAATGTTTATGGGTGATCCCCTTCCTTAGGTCTCTGGTTAGTACTTTATGTTAGGTACTGTGTACTTTATTAATATTAAATTAACTAATTAAATAAACTATCCATGTTTGATCTTTTCAAATTATAGTGAGTGTGTGTGTGTGGGGGGGGGGGGTCAGGATTATAGCCCATTTGCGGGCTTGTAAAGCATCCCACATTTTGTTTATTTTGTCTCTGTGTTTATTACAAGATAAGGTTTGCTAGGGACATTCTTGCAACTGCTTCTCTAAAATGTCTACCTAAACTTCTAGAAGTGGACACTCGCTGGAGCACAATTTTTCTCCTTGTAGTAACCAATAACTAACACAAACATGACTATTCCAATTCTACTATATACTGTAAAATAAGATCATTTTAGTGACTACCAACAAGCACTAGAGGGACTAAACAGACAAATTAGGGATCAAAGGTACGCTCTTCCACGGGTAAGATCTGGTCCTCATATTCAATGCTATGTTTCAAGGTGTAACAGCCTGATTTGAGAGATACGGAAGCAGAAGAACATGGCCTACACTTTGGGAAACAGAGGTCTAAGATGTTGCTACAGAGCCGCAGTTCTAGTTACCATATTTACAGCCATCACTGACGGTCAGCCTGAGTGATCTGAAACTTTGCAGAGTCAATAAAAAAGAAACTTCAAACTCTAGTAAGATAAATGGACACTGTGCTCTGTAGTTAAGTAGATACAATACAGCTCAGAACTGCACATGAGAAGATAAAATGTGACTGCTCAGCATACTTTACAAGGTCTCCTCAATAATAATTTCTGCCACTAACGATGGAGCTCACAAACTGTAAACTGAAGATCAAAACCTGAACTCCTATCATCTTTCCCCAAGTAGCCTTCTAATCAGGACCAGAATCAAAGGCGCCACATCCATCTTTAAAGCCTCAGTATCACTCAGAAGTCTTCTATATATCTTCTTTAGTTTTCCCTTTTATTATTCTGGTCGTTCCCTGTCAGATCCTTCAGCAATTTAAAACTTCTGAGAATTCTCAATAAACCGTTTCATGGTGTCCGACGGACATGGTCGGCGAATGGAACGCCGTATAATTGAGTCCACGGAATAAATGTAATTAATTATGATGTAATGAGAGCAAATGTAGAATCACATCAAACTTTTAGAGTAAATGATCCTTAAAGTACAGCTTTTAAACCATAAAGTAAAAACCACTGAAAGATAACCACAAATCGTACATTTTAAGGCTTATTCCAAAAACTCGGTCTTTTGTTGCAACAATGCCTCTCCAGCTCCCCTTCTTTACTTTTTAAGCGCTCATGTGAACAGGGCACATAGAAACCCTGTGTTATTAAGTTGAGCCTGTGATGATCAATGCTGATCAATGCAGCTCAACCCACCTAGTGTAAGGCCCATTCACAGTAGCCTACAGAGTTTTCATGTGCAGGCTAGTGTCCGCTGTGCACAGGCGGCAGTGCTTACCTTATATTAGCTGTTTACTTTTTTTTTCTTTTTTAAAATATATTAAAATGTCACAAAATGACACTTTATGAAAGCAATGCACCACAGACTGATGATGATTTCAGGTGCTGAAATCATCATCAGCAAGGTGATAGACAATGTATTTGGTTTTACATATAATGAATGTTTTAGTATATTATAAAGGTGTTACAATTAGGGTCCCGAATGCCATACTGTGAATCAGGTTGGGTTATAATAATATTAACTGTGACTGTCATCAGCACTTCTACAGTAATTGTACAATCTCCTTTAGAACTACCAAGAAGTATATGCAAGGAGTTTGCCTGTCCTCTCTGTCCTTGCATGTGTTTCCTCCAGGTACTCCGGTTTCCTCCCACATTCCAAAGACATGCTGGTAGGTGAATTGGTTCCTGTCTAAATTGTCCCTGTATGTATGCATGTGAGATAAGCTCCTTGAGGGCAGGGACTGATGTGAATGTGCAACTATGTAAAGCGCTGTGTAAATTGTCCCCACTATATAAATACCAATAATAAAAATACCAATAAGTATGTAGTGCAAGGGCCTGCTTGACTTGATACAAATCGATTGGATAGATCAGTTAGGTCCTAATATTGCCTAGCTTTGGTAAAGCTAAAGTTGATTGTAGAGGGATTGTATGATCAGATTGTAGACGGTGTGGTGACCCTAGGTTAAAAACAAACTTTTACCCAACCTAGCATGTTAACTATGGCCAAATGCAAAATGGGCATAGCTGCCTGAGACAAGGTCTCAAGCATAAGTGAGTGAGGCTTATTCTGTATGGAAGACAGAATTTAACATCCCTTTTCCAAAATATGATAAAGTCTTACTGGGAAAAAACAGCAGTGCAGTCTTTGCTGCATATTGTTTGATGCTGGTGGGCTAAGCCACCAACTGTGCACCCATTTCCAATATGAGTTAAGCTTCACGTAAAAAAAAAAAAAAAAGAAGAAAAATGGAAAATTCAACATGGTTGACATGGTTGACATGGTTACTTACATGGTTCATTTTAAGAACCTAGTGCAAAAAGTGATAAATGTATTGCAGCCCATAGCTACCAATCAAAATGTAGCTTTTATGAATATGTTTCTCTCAAAGCTGCTGAAAACCGTTTTCTGATTGGCTGGTACAGTTACAGCATTTCATTTTTTTATGCTGTGGTTAGAAAAATGCCATAACCAATAGCAACCAAACAGTGCCAATTAGTGGATGATCACATCCAGGTGATAAAGATGACTGGCTGCTATGGGCAGATGTACATCACCCCTCTGTGTACTTTGTTACTAAAATAGATCTAAACCCAATTATTAAAAGCTCATGTAATTTTTAACATGTTAATGTAATTTCTAAAGTAATTTTCAATCATATTAAATCTACAGTTTTCATTAAAAAAATACCAGAGATCCCACCATGGGGGTCCTAGTTCAGGCACTTCCTGTCATCCAGCAACTACTGCTAGCATGCAACTGATGTTAGAGGGAGTGCACATAGACAGGAAGTGTATACAAAGGCTGGGGAAGACTGGCAGCACTGAGATGCAAAATAGATGAAAAAAGGTGAAAACAATATTCTCTTAACAAAAAAACATGACAATTCTTTATGATACACAGTGCTTTAGCAAATTAAATCTAATCCAATTAGGGTTTAGATCTACTTTAAATAAGCTTGTCAGTGTTGAACAAATTAACAATGTTACATACTACAAGAAAACATACAATCACATTTAATATAGTAATCACTGATAATACGTAATGTAACAATACAGTGAAAACACCAAAGCAAAACACAAAACAATACTAAAGACACACACATAACAACACATACTACTACTACACAGAAAAATACTGAATCGCATTGTGATAACATAGGAAATATCACAATGATGTATATCTAATCTTACTTTCCAGTGGATAATGTTCCTTCTAAGCCAAATCATTTGGAAATGAGAAGGTTAAAGGTTAAGTCCTTCCAAAACCAATACCTGAATTCTGGATGGACCTCATTGGGACCTCATTGGGATCAGCCATTGGCTTCCTAAAATGATCAGGAACTGCTTGCTTTTGCTGCAAAGTTTTGTCTTACTAATCTCATAAAACCAAGTGAAATAGGTTATGGCCACAGCAGAGCCAAGTAGAAGTGTAACTTATGAATATAGTTACCCCGTCCTACATTGCCAAGAGATTTGAAATATCTTTCTACTGATTTTTCAGATTTGGATGCATGACCTCAGAGTGCAGTACCCACAAGGTTATTAGATTTGTTAGGGGATTTAAACCCATCAGCTTTATGTTACGGAGAATACAACAGAACTGAGGCTGCTGCTTCAGTAGGGTAAAACAGAGCCCAAAAATATAGCTGTGTGATTTCTTTACTGGAGTCCTCAAAGGATATCAGAGGTCAGCAGGTGACATCAAGTACTGTGCAGGACTGAGCTGCCGAACTACAGAGTACATTTGCAAAGGGCAGCCTTTTCAATATATTTTTTCTACCAGAGCCAGGCACTCAGCGGTTCCCCCTTTGATGAAGAACGGCTGTCTTCATGTGCAAGGTGGCCGGAGCGATCCCAGAGCTGCAGGTAGATTTTAATAGCATCTTAGCTTAGGTGTTAAGAGCTGAGGGGATTTAAAATAACTTAGGTTTACCATAGGCTTTAGATCAGCTTTAACAAGCCTGCCAGCGACTAAAAATTGAAGTGCCAGTTTTACCTGGACTCATGCTGGCCATACACTGCCTGGTTAGAAGCAAGAGACTTGACTGATTTCCATGCCGCTTGTAAAGATAAGGCCATTAGAGCTGCAGAAACAATCACATTCGATCGCAAGTCAATAATAATGGCCAAATACATTTTCTAGAAATCTCTTTGCAGCAGATAGCTAATCATTCTCTTTTCTGCGGAGAAAGGGGTGTGAAGCTTTCATCGCACATGTTCCCCCATTGCAGAAAAAGAGCTGCAGCAGGTCCCAATGGTGTGCAAGCCAAGGACAGACAGGTGTCTCATCATCCCATCATCTTCATTAAGATGTCTGCCTGTCTATTGCCACTTTTATACCTGAAAATCTAGATCTAGAATCTGATGATCGGTGTAACTCTGCAAAATGGATTTGGCCCTCATCAGTTTGCATTTTAACACCATCATTTCCAGAGTAATCAGCTTAGAGGGAACTGCGACAACAAGCAGCCGGGCAGCAGATAAAAGTCATACTGCTGGGAAATATGACTTTTAAGCTACCTTGATTCTAGAACTAGGTGTTTTGGATTAAGGGGATACCTGCGGTCCTTCTCTGGCTTCATAGAAGTCCCCCACTCTTATTTTTGGACTGAAGCTGAAATTGTCCCTTGTGATATCCATTATTCCATTTCTGCTGAGATGCTGAAAAAATCACAGATTTTTTCACTTGAGGATTTCAAAGCATGACAGCCCCCTTTTGTTATTGCCAGTGCCCCCCTTACCAGTGACACACGTACACATACACACAGGAACACTGAGGCAGGACACAGCAGTGTGCAGGGAGTTGTTATTTTCTAAAAATATAGGACATGCTGTCACTCAGAAACAGACTACACGAGGGAAGAACTATGGGTGGATTTATTTAATGTGCATATCAAGGCAAAACTTTTTTCCCTGGGTTTTGAATGAGTATGGGGAAAGGTTTTTTCTACTTTTCGGGGGTCCATTAGAAAGATTTAGCCTCACTTCCTGTCCTTCTATCACCAATCAGGAAGTTAAATAAACTTACCAACAGCAACACAGATTAAAAAAAATGATTTTCTTCAGTAAAATTGGGAATAGCTAGAACCACTGTCAGGTTTTAACTAATATCCAGTGTTCAGAGAGATTTATCCTTACTTCCTGTCTCCTTGACAATGTTTTACCAGACAGGAAGTGAGAGAAACTCTCCAATATCAACACAGACTGAACTAAAAATGCTTTTCTTCAGTAAAAAAGGAGAAAGCTAGAAACCCTGTCACAGGTTTATTTCTGGCTCTGTGTCTGTTGCCGATTTTCCTGTACTTCCTGTCTGGTAAAAGATTGTCAGCAGAACAGGAAGTGAAGGTAAATCTCTCGGAGTCCTGTACAGTAGTAAAAACCTGACAGAGGTTTAAATCCTTTCCCACAAAGATTTTGGCTTGACATACAACTTTTAGAACAAGGGCCATAATGGTCAAACAAAGGACTCTGGCAGTGTTTATTGCCCAAAACAACTAGACTCTTTTGGTTAATTGCTATAAATAACACAGACTATGTCCTATACTCGGACATCTTGTTAAATCAGTCCAACAGGGCAAAGTGCAACTGTGTTTAATAACCCTTATTAACTAATGAGTAATCAGATTTCAATAATGCACCCAAGTAAAGCTTCCAAAAGCAAAATTCTGATTGGATGCTAGGGGTAAATGCTCTTGGAGGTTGATTTATCAAAGATGAATAGGCTGTTCACTTTGCAGGGGAATTTTCCCTTAGCTTAGTGAAAGAGGTAATGCTCTGCTGACTTCCATCAGCCAATCATGTGTAAGAAAAAAATACAGTTTAAAAAAAAAAATCTTGCATATATGACAGTACAACTCAACTATTCTGACCATTGATTTGTTCTTAAACATTAAGTCTTGACCCAACTGAGCATGCACATTGACAGGGCTATTCACAAAAGGGTGAAGAGTTTGGAGAAGGCAGGAGGAGAAGTGAGCAATCTAGGACAACAGCTGATTTGGACAAATTCTCCAATTCAGACCACTTTCCAGTTCAGCTATGTTGTCCTAGATTGTTCACTTCTCCTGCCTTCTCCAAACTTCTCACCCTTTTGTGAATAGCCCTGTAAGTGGATGGAGGAGAAAGGAACAAGAGGAGGAAGGCAGACAATTCCAGCAATAAGCTAAAGTTTTCTAGTTCAATCGCTCCTTTCTCCAGAAATCTGTTGGCGGGAATGTCTGTTACTGTTCACAGACTTAAGATTGCCACCCTGTCCAATTGAAAACAGTCGCATTAAGCAACAGTCTTCTCATGTCAATGGTTAGTCCCTGTTCTAACCCAACCAAACGTAAACAATGCTCTATTTATACAGACCAGTACATTCTGATGAATTGTATTTCATGGACACCTTGTAGATGACATCCTTAACATGCTGGCCTATCATTTCAAGAGTTCAAGCAACATTGCAGTGCAAATATGCCACTGCATCAACATGTTTCTCTTATTTTGCATTGGAGATACCAACTATTACTAGCAGAAAGTAGCCTGTTGCTTCCCTGTCATTGCTGAACTGCAAGCAAAAAGAATGTACAACTACGGCTTGGCTGGCCCTGAGTGCTAGAATTAGCAGTAGTCATACAGCAGTACGAAAGCAACAGATTGCTTTGAAGTAAGATCTGACCAAAGATCATAGATTTTTGGGTGTATTTATTACTGCAAGAAGCAGTAACTGAGGACAAATTGCATAACAATCAGAGTTCAGTTTATTAGATGATTTGTGATTGGCTGCTAAGAGTTTCTGTACTTTACACTTTATGCTGTTTTTCTGCAAAAAAAAAATAATATATACCTCCCAGAGTTTCCCATTTGCTCAGACTCATTTGCAGACCTTGTGTTCTGAAAAGAAGGAAGTATGGAGACACTGTGTACCAGTGAGGCAGCATGTCTATATTCTCATGACCCTGCAGGTCAAAGGTAATCTAATCACTGCTGAGGGTTGGGAAAAAGGACAAGTGTAAACACAATCCACATCCACAACACTAAAGCACAGACATTTAGAGATGGGATAGAACAGCTACTAACAAAACCAGGAAAGGTCTTTTCCCCCTAAATCATAAATAGATTACCTTCATTACTTCTGGGTACTGACGAAATTTTTTCCCACAGGGAGCAAAATAAGTGACTTCTCCTTGCAGACGCCCACCAAGATTCTTCATTCTTGTTTCTCTTTGCCAGCTATGTAAAACAAGGTGGACTGCGTTACTGATCATTCTTGGTATATAGTCAATAAACCAACACTTTACCGGCAAACAACAATGGCTGTTATCTGTACAGTTAACCAAAAGGAAATACTGAGAGCTGGGAAAGCAGATGCAGACAATCTGGATTTTTGCTAATGACTGCGAAATAGGATATTTTTTTTATGTGCTTGCTCATCTCTGCACGAGGGGTTGAGTTTACAAATCTAGATGGATGTCAGGGATTCTTTTCTATTATAACTGTATATGAGCAGCAAACCTGTGCCTAAAAATGTGCATACAAGTTTATCAGACATCAACCAAAATGTTTGAACTGGCAGAATTTTTAGGCTTCCATTAGCACTATCAGGGGACAGTAGGAGGAAGGAAATATTTCCAAACTTGACTTATTTTTCTGACTAGATTAAAAGAGACAAAGGTATGCTAAAAATTCCCTTATTCTTTAGAGAAGCCAGTTTGAGATTACCATTAAGAGACAAATCTGAATTATTTAGTAAAAATGTTTACCCGTATTCCAGAGGCATACGCAGCTCGCGCTCATCTGTGACTCTTTTTCTCTTACTGGCACCTTAAATAAAGTTTTGAAGGTTCACAATTATTTCCTCAAAGAGTATACCACTACAGGGATACCAACCATAACATAAGAAACAGTCTTCAAATAATTTTTACAGTTTCAGCTCTCAAAGTAATAAATAAATGCCCTGAAGCTTGCATCATATGTAGGTAACATTCACAGTTCAAAGCTTTATGTAATCACAAAAATATCATACATATGTAAGCATTAAAAATAAGCTGGAATTGTCACCTCAACTTTCATTACAAATTAAGTAAATAGCCATTACATGGGAATCACACTTTTAGATTTTTCATCTATTTGATATCATGGACAATGCAGATGGGTAGGAACACCCAGAACTCCAAGGTGGCTGAGAACAGTGCCAGGATCGATGGTGGGGAGAGCATGTGATTGCAGTCATCAAATGATGTTATAAACCAGCAGATGATTTGACCCACCAAACTCCATCTGTAATTAATAAAGTTACTTTTGGCTAGACTGGCTATTTAAACCCCAGTTAAACATTTTTGGATGGGGAAGGGGGAGGTTTGATATTGTTTGGCAGGTCAAATGATTAACTATGTGGTACTGATTACACACAGTAAAATCACCCATCACTTTGTTACCAACATATCTAAATATATCTATTTAAATTACATTGTACTTCCTGCCTTCCAGTAAATGTTCACATTTTTACCGCTGCTATACACATGGATTGTTTTGTTTGTCTATAGTCAACTATACCCTGTGGCAACATAAAAATGTGAACATTTCCTAAGGGCCCAATGCTTCAACAAGTATTACAGACACAGAAAAAGAGGCAGTATATATGTTTTTTAAAACGAAAATATATTACTTTACTGACTTACAGTAGCAGAAATGTGAACTTGCTCCTTAAGGCAGGGGATTTAAGATGAAGGGTGCATTTTTTCAGGGTACTGTTTAGGGCAGGGGTGGACAAATTATTATGGCATTGAGGTGCCAGTCTATAAAATCCAGCAGCCAGCAGGACTTTTATTAGGAACCAGCTCTATGGACAACATCTAGAGAAAATCTCAAAAGATGGGCGCTAGACATAATTTTTATGTATAGCATTGGTGACCTGGCTCCTGTGATTTGTCAGCCCTGCTTTAAGGTGATACAAATTATAACGTAATGTCAAATGTGTGTTTTTTAATGAACAATGATTCTACTATTTGATGTAAGGCAGACTCCTATGTACCAGGTGGTTGTGGCCTCCTTGAGGACACAGATGAGTATCACTAACACAGGCAGCAGGAAACCTCTTAGTTGTAATCCTGATGGTCAGTAATTTACACATCTACATTGAAGCAAGAGATTAAAACATCAAATACCGCATGGTGTGCTGGGGCTGAGAGTGGCAGTGGGGCTGCGGAGGTCAGGGGGTTGTGACTCTGGGCACAGCGCAGATGGAGCAGAGCTGGGGCTCCTGATGACCTGCAAGTTGAGCGGTGTGGATTGAGCACTCATGCTGTTCGTTGAACTGGTCACAGGAGGAGCAGTTGTATTAAATTTCAGCTTTTCTCCCTCTGTATCGCTGTCAGAATCGTCTTTATCATCGTCTTCTTCCGTCCCCTCCGAATCCGATTCTGAGTTACTGTCTGACTCTGGTTAGTAAAGTGAGATTTAGTTGTTGAACCCAAGTTATCATGTATTTTAAATCTAAACAAAGGTGCCCAAAACCACTTGCTGTGAATGGCGCAGTCAAAAAATATAAGACTTCATCAATGTATCAGAAATCCTTTTCCCTCTTACAGGTCAGTATCAGAGAGTATGGAAGAGCATGATTGGTTTGATGAGTGTAATACAGACTGTCTTAGAGCATTTTTCTCTGACCCTTCCTCACTATACTAAACAAAAACATTTTTGTATGTGCCCCCATTGTCAAGATTTCTCATCACAGTCCTGACAGGAAGTAAAGAGAATTCTTCTCGAAACAGATACAGGCAGCAACAAAAGCCTGATAGGAGTTCTAACCCTTCCACACTCTATCTAAAACAAGATACACAGGCTGGAGTTGGACTTTACATAATAATTTATGGGATTAGGTTATGTTTTGGGTGGGAAAGAGTTAGTGTCAGCTTAACATTTAGGTTAAGGCTAGTGGTAAGGGCACATAACTTTTTCCTACATCCTTTTTTTCTGTAACAGCCTAGTAAAACACTTTAGCAGAATAGCTAAAAGCATAACACATTTCTGACCTGACTGGCTATCAGAATCATCATCTTCATCATCTTCATCCTCCTCCTCATCATCCTCATCATCATCTTCATCGTCATCCTCCTCATTGGAGTCTTCAGAATCCTTGCTGCTGGGGATGTCAGAATCCACCCCTCGAAACTTGTCCAGGAGACTTTTGGTGGCATTGAGTGGGTGAGGTGGCTTTATTGCTGGTGTGGAGTTACCTTTTGGAGTTTTCTCCTTGCAGAGACTGTGTAAAATTGGGGAACCAGTTGGCCCAAGGATCGACTTGCTGGAAGAGTTCCTTTTTACACACGCAATCAGATTGATCGGAGAGGCAAAATGGGCACTGGGGGAAACAGTTACACTGTCGCTGACTTTATTTTCCCTCTTAGATTTGGTGGTGAGAGCCAGCGGGGCTTCCTGGATAACACAGGGGAGGACTCCATTTGGCTGGTGATTACCCAGCAGTGCATTTGCCAAGAATGGGTTGGAGTGGTTATTTTCTAAAGATGGCTGCAGCTGACATATGGAGTTGGACATGGGAATGGAGACTGACTGAGTAACAATAGTCTTTTTCTGGTTCTTGAGGCCCTCCTGAGGCTTGCTTACTGGAGCAGGGAATGTTGATTTCTGTTGATCCTGTGGAAATTAAAAGAAAACTAGTAAGAAAGAGGAATGACACCCTGTGCTGTAAGTCCTGATGTTGATTTAGGTTACCAATGTGTACATAAATTTGAAAAAATTAGTTCATACATTTTATAGAAACATAGTGACATCACAGAACAAATATACATATTTTTAAGGTCTATTTTAAGTCAATTCGAGCAATTAATTTGGAAGCGTGTTAAGCCATTATCAATATTATAATCAGGGCCAGATATCCCACAAGGCCAACCGAGGCCCAGCCTTGGGGCAGCAAGAAGTGTAGAATTCCTATCTCCCGACGCCTGGGACATGCAGTTCCGGGCGCCGGGTGGGTAGTTATTTTCTACATTTAGCCCTGCTTTTGGGAAGCAGGGCTAAATGTACAGCGGGGAAGCCACCACTTGTTTTGTACAAGTGATCTCAGCGATGTCGCCGAGATCACTTGTATGCAGCCTACATACAGGCGGGCCCATTGAGGAACCTGGTCTTGGGGCAGCAGAGAGAGTAAATCCGGAGCAACCACATTCCAGTTGTCATTATATTTAGGTGCTGTGGGCAACACCTCTGTTTCTTCCAATGATCCAATTTTGACAAATACCTCCCCAACTAAATTCCTTTAACGATGACATTTGAAATGGCCATTGATACAAATGTAAATTAAACATGGAGGAAGATAAAAAGTCCCCCTATATCATATTTCTGGAATGAAAACCTTTTTCTACAGCAATTTGAACAGATTTATGTCACATTTGGCAATTCGGGGGTTGTTTTCACATAGACTATTTTGCAATACATATTCCCCAATACTTTAAGTATTGATTTTGTACATTTTTAAAGAACAACATACTCTTTCAACATAGGCCATCAGCATTCCAACATCAGTGGCTCCTAGCCAAGAATACAATATGTTTAAAAGTAGTTCTGTGTAGTACAGAGAATGCCGATTGCAATTATCTGGATGAACTTCTTGGACGTAACTTGACAGGGTTGAAGAGGCCAAGCCTGGTTAGGGCCGTGTATGAAATAACTCCCAAAGGGGTGATATGAGGTAACACTGAATCCAAGTGAGTTTATCGTTTCTTTTTAAAAATATTATTTTTTTGTAAGAGTCCTTATCTGTTGAGATAATTGTGGTGATTTATGAGCATGTCAGAGCTTTAATAGCTGTGTAGTTATTTCCCCTGAAAACAACACCCTTTGTAGGAGAATTTGCAAACACTGGCTACAAAACCAGGATTTGCTGGGTATCTGTTTATTGTGAAAGGGCACCTGTAGTGATATGACACGTTGTTTTCATGCAATAGAAAAGTGCAGTATTATCTGCACTGTAATGTAAATGTTTCTGACTAAATGAAGGTTTAGGGTAATGTATGATGAATCACACACCAGTCTTCTAGCTGTTATTGTTTGTAGCTATGGGATCCAACCTGGATGTTCTATTTCACCTGACTTCAGACCTGGCTTTATGCGATGTTCTAAAACTATAAAAGTTACTGCAGATGAATAATTACTGGTCTGTGAGAGTGCGCAGACTAACCAGTAATCACAATCCATGAAATCCTGGGCACAAAAACATTATCAAAGAGGGTGGCTCCTTCAGTGATAGCATGAAATGCCAAATTCAACAGCAGGTGGCCTATTATTTTACCTAATATGAGATTCAAGTTGGACACAAATAATCCATGGGTACCAGAAATTGCCAATAATGCCTGGTTCACACCTAGGCGATTTGTCGTGTGGCTCGCACAAAACACAGAATTGCACTGAAGTCTATGGAAGCTGTTCACACCTAGGCGATTTATTGCTATGTAGAAATCACCTGTCGCGCAAAAAGGTGCAGGAGCTATTTCAGGCGATTGTCTCACTTTTTGGGTTCCATAGACTTGCATTTAAAAATTGCGCGTTCTGTTCAATAGGCGATTTGGAAGCAATAGTTGCGTGATTACAGCATGACACAGTATATTACAGGAGATGGAATACGAAATTAGGTCATGGCTGTTTCTGCTTCTGATTGGACACCTGTACATCTCTATGGAGAACAAAACGCACTTTATCGCATGATTTTATGAGAAAAATTGCTTAACAAAACGGATGAAAGCCACATGAAAAACGTGTGTCAACTGCTAGGTGTGAACCTGGCCTAAATATTCAGTGGAAAGCTCCACAAATCTGGAACAAAGATTATAAAAACAAGGTTGCTGCCCACTGAAAGCAATTTCTGTTTTTATTCCCCAAGTGTCATAGGAAAATAAAACCTGGAACTGGAATGCAGGCTTGGTGCTGCAAGTTACAACTCAACTTTCCTTTTTTTCAGATGGATAATCCACAAAGCAACCTGGGCAGAAGCCTAGGGCCCTGTGGATGTCCACGGTGCCAAGCAGCAAACTTGATTGTCAGTAAACCAGGGGGATAATCACAATTGAAAAAGTGGCTATGAATGGGTTCCCATTTAAATGACATCCATAGAAATCCTGCAGGCAACATCAATCCAAACCAAATCTATATAGAAAGCCATGTATTAATACTCCAAATATACATTGCTCAAACATATCTAATAAATAAAAAAAAGTGTATCTGCTAAGTATGATACCTAAAAAACCCAGCCTGTGGTCCTCTTATAGTCCTTCATGTGTATTGCAGTGCATCAATGTGTGTAACATAACACAATACAGACCGGTCTCCATACTGAATGCGCATAGTCCCACCGCCTATATTAGATTCCAGCAAGTACCAACATAACTCAAAGTCCAAAGGGGCCGTCGTGGCTGCCTAGTCCTCACCATCTAAATTGGTTTCAGTATGTGAATCAGTCCCAGGAATCACAATATAATCAGGTCGAAGCTCTGCATCATCCTGGCGCTGCCGTAGGTAGGATAAGCGTGTAGGCAGTTGGTGTCAGATAGGAGCATGCCAGTATATCTTCCAACTGTCCCTCATTTGTGGTGACTGTCCCCACATTGCGCTGCTGCCTCTTTCTCATCTCAGAAAGTTGGGAGGTATGATGTCAGTGCTGACAGTGCAATTTGGGCAGCTTATCTATGTCTACTGCAATCCTTATCAATATCAAAAGGTGCTACCTTGCCTAATGCCCCATTCTTCTTTAATCCCTCAATACTGTTGCTCCAGTTTCAAAAACCATTGCCCCGTCATGGCAATACCAGGTCATTAATGTGGTATGTCTCAGCTTTATTGGCTGCAAACAAAAAAGGGCAATCACATAATGTGTGCATGTTTCTCTTGAAATCCAGTCAGTTTACAGACAGGATGAACTCTGAGCTGAACCTTTGAAACATTCCTGCAATTCTTGGGGAAAAATGTCTGGCATTTTTCTTCAACAATCTGAACAGAATAGAGGAATGTGAATTGATTTCTAAGTGCTTTCTAAGCAACCAGTGTGAGGCTCACAAAGAATTAATATTAAGTGGAGGAATGGACGGGGGAGGGGGTTAGCACAGCTGGCTCTGCCTCTGGATAGGCAGAGCCAGCTGTCAATCAGCCAGCTGGGTGGATCTCGAAAGTATTGTCGGAATCCTTCCCAGCTGAGGCTCTCTCAGTATATAACGAGCATTTAAATACATTTTTTAATGTAAGCAGTGTAAGCAGGGGTGTCCCCATAATGAGGCAGCAAATCTCATTGGGGGGGAGCAGCATGGCCAACTAACAGGCCTGCTGCCTCCCGCCCAGCTCACAGCTCAGCCAGCCGCCGCTTCCCGCCCAACTAACAGCTTGGCCGGCAGCCACTCCCCCCCTTCTCCTGGCCACCACAGGCTGCGAATAAGGTAGGGACAGCCCTGAGTGTAAGTACCTTAAAAATACTTAGTGAAAGAGAGACAAGCTTAGTGTGCTACTTCTCTTTTCACTGTACAGTCGCAGGGTGGGGAGGAGACCAGTAAGTGAAAGTAATGCATCAGCAAAGAAAGAACTGGTTCTCTCCCCTGCCAGCCAGAACGGTGCTGTGTAGCAGAGCTATGTAAATCACAGCACTGAATGGACAAATATACAAATTATTTAGCAAGTTAAACAGCTTCCATGTATGTACCTCATCTGAGTATTCAGCTGTAAAGGTGAAAGACCAGGTGAACAAATGAAGAACGACAAATAATATTTACTGAATTCAGCACACTGATGGTGTCATCTCTGATTTGTTTTTAAAGAAAAATGGGTTAGCCTACAAAATGGCTGCCTTGTCTGTGTACCTTTCAGGATCATTTTCAAATACTTTCAAATACCTGGGGTGTCTTATGGATGGATTGCTGGGAATATTCACAGATACATGCAAATGACTCAGCTATGGAGAGGTTTAAAAAGCCCAATCTGCTAAAGCAATTTTTTTTATTCGGCGGGCTCCAGGTTTCCTGATGTGAGGCTATTGAAGGACACAGCGGGGATCTCAAAGGCAGTGTAAAGGTAGCACACACAATTTCCAACATCTTGCAGTGACACTTCTTCTTTTACATATGTATTTGGGAATATTACAAGCCTGTCATGCCTTTTCATTCTTAATCAACCTATAGCTTAGATTTAGAGTTTGTCCATTATAAGTGAAAGGCATCTTAGGAGGCCACAGCAAAAGAAAGAAGCAGAAGTCATAGGGGATGTCTGGGCCTGGTCATGACCAATAGTAACAAGATGGAGGAATGCAGATGGATGGTTGAGACTCTGCCTGATGTCACATAGACACCTGCAGAAAGACACCTCCTACTCTACACGGAAGCATTGAGAAGATTCATGAACCAGAGCATCACGTGACCACGGATTAAGGTAAGTATCAGGCACATTTGGATTAAGTTGTTTTTTTTTTTTTTTTAAAGGAACCCAACAATTAGTTTTGCAGGGGAAGACAGTGCCTGGAATCCACCATTAGGGAGACTAGAGGGTTTTATATCCACTTGGAATGCTGATTTAGGTCACACATACATGATCAAAACTATCCTTACAAATAATTATCGAAGGAAAAAAACGATCATAGTTAGTGTTGATTGGCTTTTATTCGCATCAAGTGGGTTTTGCATCACCATACAAATCTATGGGAATGCAAAACTCATTTGAAGCAGGTCAAATTACAGGTCAGAAGGAGGTCAACTGCAGATAAAATGCACCTGTCAATGAATTCTGGAACATTTCAGAAACATCTCAAACTGATGAAAACCTGATGTCCTTGACACAAGCCCAACACAGTCCCTTAACCACTAAGTCATTTTAAAATTGGCTTCTGCAGGTCTTGGTGTAGGTTAAAGCTAGAACCGCCGGCTAACAGTGACAGCCTGCATCTAGCACTACGGAGCTGAAACGATCAGCTCTTGGGCTTATGAAGCTTGTACAGATTACTTAATTTGAGCGGGCTATCAAAGCAAATGTAAACACTATGCAACGGTATAGTGACAGGAAAGTAGTGACATCATGAGTGATGTAATTGGACTGCCTGTCAGTGCGGAGGCTTGGGTAGAGCTTTACAGCTTCTGCCTACATCATTAGATTACTTCTATAGTGATCTATTCCTGGCTGAATGCAGCCAACAGTAGATCACTATTAGAATCGGTGTGCAACTTTACAGCTACATGGGGGTCTGGATTAGGTCTCTAAAGCAAACATATGTAAGGGGTTTTAATAACATTTGAAGCTGTATGACATTTTCAGGAGATTGTTATAAAAGAAATTTAAACTGAAAGTTGGTATAGTTATTATAACACACACAACCTCCTGTCCAATTTGTCACCACCTTTTGTCAAAAATGGCTTATCACATAAGATAAGACCACATAAGGTGAATAAGATGTATGAAACATGTGACACATCTCTGCACAAATATAGGAACTTTTACACACATAGCCTTGAAGGTGCTTTCTGGCTTTTTCATATCATGTAACCCCGGGGTTTAGGGTTGGTGGACCTGTAAGGCTAAGACAGGAAAAGACTCAGCTCAATGCCTCCTTTGAGATCATAGGCTGTAACTTAATCTATTTCTGCCACAGTAAGGAAAATAAGATGTAACATCATCTCTCTAAGGAGACAAAAGCTATATACAAGGAAATAGGATTGTTCTGGGTAATAAACATCATCCTGAATGCCGTCGTCAGTAGGGTTAAACCCATTATAATTCTCTGCCATTTCTTCTCAATAAGAGATACTGAAAATAAAAACATTCAATGCAATGCTGCGGGCTGAATCAAAACAATCATATTACGTCTTTAAATCATTCCAATTGTTATAAATAACCCTGGGCCTCTAAATGTATTTTAGAATAATGTATTTGCTGCCCATTGCAACCAAACTATATTTCCTTTTGGAATTCTCAGTGTTGCACAGGAGAGCAGAAAAAAACTCTGAATGGTTGCCACAGGCAACACAGACTGTTCTTGTTTGAAAAGCTTTGATAAAGGACACCCATTGTTTGTGAAATTTCTCTGTACTTGAATTAGGTAGGTATAGCTGGCAGGATGTTGTCACTATCTTGGTGTTTTACAGACATATGTCAGAATCTCTGATACGTAGGGGGAACATTAACAAAAATGAGCACAAGGAGAACAAAGTGGCACTTTAGATGACAAACTATGATTTAATTTCTAAACTTAACAATAGAGAAACTGAAAAAAATCTGATTTCTTTCCAGCAATGTAAAATGTGAGCTTCGCAGGCATTTCATGTCCTATGGATGCACCTCAACTGTCTTTCACTATACAGTGACCAGGAGGCAGGGATCGTCTAGTGGGGGGGGGGCATACACTAAACCCCACATGCAACCCTTGATGCATTTGACAAACAGGGTCCCCTGCTGCTACTGTGCCAATGAGCCAGGCCCCCGAGATCATGGCACTGATAAGGGCAGAGTGTCAGATCCACAGATGCTCGTAAAAGCCAAAATTTTAGTTTTGGTTAAGGGTTAAGCCCTGTGCAGGACAACAGTGAGTGTGCAGCTGGAAGAGAAGCAGGAAGCATTGCTATGTGGACTGCCACAAAGCACACGGCGACATCAATGCGGGAATGAGAAACCCTGTTTTAAAGTGGTTGTCACTAAATTAAACAGTGAAACTGAAAGTTGTCCCTGCAAAGAAAAGAATCAATGCTCGCCTGCTCCGCTGCCCATGCCTTCTCTCTCTTGAAGAGCTATGCTTGCTGAATGTCTGTGAAGGTTCTCATTCATGCAGGTCATTTTATATCTGTAAAAGGTGAATCAAGGCAACTGGACTGTATTTTTCTTGCAGACGCTTTGCTGATCATCCAACTAGCTTTCTCAATTCAGAACTGAGAAAGTTAGTCGGATGACTGAATTGAAAGAGCTAATCGGATGACCAGTGAAACGTCTTCAAGAAAAATACAGCAAGTCCAGTTGCCTTGATTTATTTTTTACAGATATGAGTGCTGAAGAAACTTCAGCATCTGAAACTTCCAGGAGTACCAATCCTCTAGTACCACTCTGCACTTTGTGGTTCCTCCAGCCGAACCCTACTTTACTACAGGACACAGCAGTGAGGCAGAAGCCAGGAGAAGGAACCACATCATACAGGTGGTTTATTTTTTTTAGTTGATTTACCTAAAGACAGATTCACTCTAAAATGAAACTCTATGCTTTTAGTATTTTGAAAAAGACTATGGGAAAGGGTGTTTTTATGGTTTGTTATTTACATTTCTCAATGAAATTATTATATTTGTGTAGCTGTGCATCAAATTTTGGGATAGTCCTTTTTGTGTTGTACACTAACTTCTTATTTGCCTCTACTGCATACTTTGGTGGGGCACAGCCTAGTTCCTCTAAGGGTTTGTTGTTACCCCACTTGGTGATCTCTTTCTATCCTCAATTTTATGTGTCAGCACTCTTTTTGGTATCTGTGGAGAATCCTATATATATATTTGTACTAGAAATATAAACCACATAAGTGGTGTTGAAACCAAGAAATGTGTTTAATCCCGCTGCTACTCTCACACTGCTACACTATAGTTGATGTACACTTGTAATATTATGGCCTTTACAAGATACAAATATTAAAGTGAATATGTGCTTTGTCCAACCAACTAATAAACAAAAAAGTTCCCTTTAGTTTTACCCTTTTAATCCTCAGGTCGCTGGGCTGTGGGCTGGGCTCTTCAGAGGTATTTTTGTTCCCTGTTTTCAGTCCATCAGAGGGGGAGGTCCCGAGTTTTAAACTAGCTTCCTTGCTGGGTTGAGTGAGTAAAGGTGAGGGCTTCATGGCCAGTCCAGTACATTGAATCACACTTGTGTGTTTGTTCACAGTCTCTTCCTTGGCCTGAGAGTTTTGGAAAAAGAAGGGAAGTTGCTGGGATAAAACCTGAGGGTATTTCTGCTGGGGCTGGATTGGAGAGCGGGCCTGGGGATCCGGAAGAAGAGGTAACTGCTGGTGTGCTCGCTTCTCCGGCAACTTCTCTGTTTGGCTTCCATCAGGTTTCAGGTCTTGGATGTTATGGATTAGCACCTGAGAAAAGAAGTCATATATATATATTTAAAAGGATCATTACTACTGTCACTGCCTGTGTTATGTTGTGGGCTTGTGTTGATAGCATTAGTTTGAAATCAGTTGGAATGCTTCTGAGACACTTCAGAATTCATTGACTGGTGCATTTGACCTGCAGTTGTCCTCTTTCTGACCTGCATCTGACCTGCTTCTAGCGCGTTTTCCACACCCATAGACTTGTATGAAAATGCCAAATCTGTTGATACGAACAAAAGCCCACCAACAAAGACCTTTATGATCACAGTGCACATATGCCTAAGTGATGCAAGGCCAAGACTGTAAATGGTATGAAAAGGAAACTATTTTTGTTCAATTCACCCAAAATCTTTATAGCTTCTCCCTAGAACTTGGTTTTAACCACTTGGTGATCATTGTACTAATAAAACCATCCTTTTTGGTTTGTCTGTAAAGAGAATGCTCACACACAAACAAACTGCTTTCTAAGCCCCTGAAGTGTGACAATAGAAAGGTCTACCGTAGTAAATAAATTGTGTTCTGATAACTGTACGTGGTTAGAGTAGAACTACATTCATTATCAGAATCTGAAATAAAGTCAAAATCCCACACTACAACTTTAAGAAATACTATCTTGCTTGCAAATTCCCCAAGATAACGGTGCACACCACAAAAACCACTGCAGACCATGCAACCATGCTGAAGCTAGTGCCATCTTAGAAAGATTGTGGCACGTCACTTCCTGGCTGATAGCAGCTGCCCACCACTAACATCACAAGTAAATACTGTGTCTTAGCATTGTAGAGACCCAAGCCTTTCTTCAGTAGCAGCGTTGCCACGATACTGCTTGCGAGACATCGCCCCAGCAGAGTGAAGAGCAGATTCCAGCACTGAAGGATCCCTGCTGCCCAGGGTGTACAAGCACTTTTTATGCTGTTAATAATATTTTAAAAAAAGCCTCTATGCCAGTTTTTGGGTGGGTTTGACCACAAACGATAGACTTCTTTTAAGGTGAGCTACTTGGTGATTGGTTTTTGATCTAAAGAAGATTGTACAGTCAAATTTTATTGTGTAAGTTTTAAACTACTTCTGTCCACAGGGTAACAACCCTGCTGCTGCTATTTCACTGCTGAACAAACAGCACTGCCACCCTTTTACAGGAAGTACTGATTTTGCCCATAGCTCTACTAAAAAAAAACAAAGATACACAGAAACCCAAACTGTTGGATTGCATATAGGTTTCCGCAGTGTTCCATTTTTATTTTGCAGAAAGCAAGCACACGGATGTACTACAATCACGCCTGCATAAACAAAGATAGTTATTGAACATACTATCTCACTCATTCTAACCTAATCATGATAACATGCACACAGATTTACAGATCCGAACATAGATGTCAGGCAAATAGGTGGAGCTGCAGAGTGTAACCATTCATAGTGTACTTGTTGGGGTCAGCTAGGGAACATTGTCCAGACCATTTGCTAAAGGCATTTATTGATTTGCTTGCTAATGCAGCCAAACTGAAGTAGGACTGTTGCCAGATGCTGCACTCTGAAAACTGACCAACAGATGTTGCATTCATTACGCCTGGCCAAATACCATCCAATTTTTGTTTGTAATGTGTCCAGTCACAGTATTACTAGCAATAACTGGGTGATTTCCAGCATGAAGGGAAATCTGTACTATTGATCATTAGATCCTTGCACTATGCATGTAACAGATGTAACAAAACCGGAACCAAAGAGTCAAAAGGAAAAGTTGCAGTAGGGTTCAACACTTATAATCAAGCATTTATAAAGCTATCTGCACAGTCCTTAAAGGAGAACTATGTGGTGAGTGCTTTTCACTCCGCCTCATAGTTCTAGCCGACCTGTGACAACGAAACTGTCACAGGTCGGCTCAGTAGATCGGGAAGTGAGCGAACACATACCGGCGTCGGTCAGAGCCGTGACAGGGGAGGGACTGGATTCCCCCCTCCCCGCTCCGATCCTCCAGTGCTGACTGGCGGAACGGACGGAGGAGGGGGCGGGTACAGTGGCTCCGCTTCTGCGTGTCACTCACGCAGCTGGGCGGATCCAGACATTATTGTCAGGATCCGCTTCAGCTGCGGTGTCTCAGTGTACCGCGAGCTACTGAGCTTAGGGTGACGGGAGGACGCTAGTTTGTGTCCTCCCGTTACCCTTAGGAGAATGATGGGGCAAAGCCCTAACCCCATAGTTCTCCTTTAAAAGGTAAATACCTCTCTCTTTCTATTAAAATGAATTCTGATTCTTATCATCCAGCACTACCACATATCTCCAGACTGGAACTGGAGCAGGAAGAAACAGACAGCAACAAATACAGTTGTTCTCTAACCCTTCCCCACTTTACAAAAATAAGTTGTTCTGTTGCTGTCCTCTGTCCCCATTAAAGAGATTTCCCAACAGCAAATATATCAACACAGAAAAAGCATGAGATAAAGCAGCAACTCCACAGTTTCAGTGTAGCTAACACAGTAAACATTTACAAATATTGCCTGCTGTTTCATGCTGGGGTACACTGGAAAAAGAAAATATGAAGAAGAGCATCAAATTCAAGAAGGGACAAGTGGTCTAGTGGGAGGGGAAGACCAGGAAAGGAAGAGGAAGAAGAAAAGGGGGAAGGAAAAAAGGCTTTAAGGAGACACTTTCCAGCACAACCAATACATCCATAACTTTGTAGTCCCTACACAGTTGAAGCTGTACTGGTTTTGCTGTATAGTGTATAGTCTTTGTTCCATTCTTTACTTACTTCATGTTTCTCATTTTCTGAGAGAAAATGTGAGGGAGAAATCTCATGTAATACAAATGAAGTACACTATATATGGCCAAATGTTTGTGGATACCTGACCATCACACCTATATGAGTTATTTTGGATTTTTGGATTAATATAAGGTAACAGCTGCTTCTCTTCCAGGAAGGCTTTCCGCATTATTTTGGAGTGTGTTTGTGGAAGACCTGGTTGATAGTGTTGAGGTCAGGACACTCATGTTCTTCCACACCAAACTTATCAAACCCATGTCTTTATGGACTGGGCTTTGTATACAGAGGTACAGTAATGCAGGAACAGAAAAGAGTCTTCCCTAAAACTGTATCCACAAGGTAGGGAGCATACAACTGTCTAAAATATCTTCTGTTCTATATTTCTTCTTACAACAGTCCCAATTAAAAGATAAAATAATTAATCTATGTTCTTTCCACCCACTGCAGCTCTGTTTTCAAAGCTGTTTGTTTTAAATGATTGCTGCTCATCCTTCAAAGCAGATTGCTACTGCGGTGCAATGCATTAAGCAATATAATTAATTTTTTCTTTTTTTTTTTCTTTTTTTTAAATGCCACCTGCAGAGGTCACTATTCCCAATGCGGTCTATGGCAAACATTAGCCATCAGGCCAAATCCTTTTTAACTAGTCAGCAGCTAACACTGTGTCATCTCCTACAAAGGCAGGGAGTTTCCTTTTCTATTTTAATGATGTTCTCTGTGACCTTGTTATTAAATTGCAGCTTGTACCTTGTTCTTATTTTTAGTTTGTGCTTCACTCTCTGAATCAGAGTCATCGTCGTCACTCTCTTCAATGCTTTGGTCCTCTTCCTCCAAGTCATCAGAATCGCTGCTGCTGACACCATCACTAGACGTGTCGGATGAGGAGCCGGAGTCACTGGAGCTGGAGCTTTCCACTGCTTTTTTTCTTTGTTTTTGCTATGAAAAAAGGCACAAAAGTTATGCCCAGGGGTTTAACTAAGTGAACAGATACTTAAGCAGCTCTGTTCTATTGCACATATCGTGATAAATGACAGACTGAAAGAATCGCAGTTACCCTCCGGTGATTTTGTGTACCTTTCATTAACTTCTCAAGAACCCTAGGACCTCCAAATCTCAAGTTTTTCAGCACGTTCTCAGCACCCCTCACTCTGGTAGCTGTGTTTTTTCCACAATCTTTTTATTTCTTCACAAGTAATATATTGTACATTTTATAGAATTTAATACAACGTAAACATAAAAACATAACACTTGACAGCTCATCATTTTCAATGTTACATTCTGTTGTGATCAACAGTTGCTATTGCATATGTAGTGGCACCTCGACAAAGTCACCTGACTTCAAAAACTTTCCAAACCTAGTGGACATGTCCTGCCTGGTCCTTCCTTGTGTTTTCCTCTCTACCTGCCTCTAGGAAATCTATAGTATTCATTTTACATTTTCCTATTTCTTTCTTCAGACCTGTACTGTGGAAGGGCAATTCCTGCCCTCATTGCTCCTGGGTGACGTGGACACTGCCCATTGGCTGTCAAAACAATTCATCAAAGGGTCCTCACAAGGTCTTAGTGAGTGTCATGACATGTCACTGTAATTGATATAACTTGTGTTCCATAACATCTGTGAAAATAATAATGGAGCTCTCGCTGCAAACCTCACTCTATCTACTTCCGGCTCTTCCCCTTCTGGGTAAATAATGCCCATCATCATTCAGTGACTTCCTGTGAGCCCAGTCTGTCAGGGACACCTCCTGTCGTGCATCATCACACAGCATGGGCTCACTGTAGAGTGTTGCATAGAATGGCGCATACATGCCACAATGTGCCGTACTATCATGCAATGGGGACAATCCAGTGTTGATACTGGAGATAAGAAATGGGACCCTCTCATTATGGCACTGGCTGACATTGTCTTGGAAAAAAGGTATGTATGCTGGAAATTGTTTTATGTATGGACAGGTGGAGGGGGCTGAAGGCTGGGGTTAGTCTTTAAAGGAGGACCTCACACTACACAGTTGTAGCAATATTTTACTGATCTGACAGATCAATTATGAAACAGAACCTAACTGCCTGTGACTGCCATAAGTGATGTGGCATTAACAACACAAGAGAGAAAAGAAGAGGCGGTAAGCACTGTACCAATATAATTGCGAATATAATTGCGAACATGTTTGTGTCTTTTGGGAATGCCAACATTTTATACATGAGGCCCAAAAAACAGAACGTTTAATAATTCTTCCCCACCTTATCTTTGTTTTTTTCGTTTCTGCCATCTGATTTGCTTTGCTCTTGATTACACGTCCGGCCCCCTGGTCCTGAGCCTGCGCTTTTTACTTGCCCGCTGTTATTTGTCGTAGTCGTCGATAATATAGGTGTGCAGTTACTGGTGACTAATGAGGGGATGCTTCCATTCAAGGATCCATTTATGCCTTTACATAGGATAAAGAAATATATATACTGTTATAGTGGACACCAAGTCTCCTGGGTTTTTTGAGACACATAAAAGGGTACATCATTTTACAGGTGCACAGAGACACGCTGTAGTATAATACAGCAAACAGGTTGGTCATATTCAGTCTGATTTTTGGATGAATGTACAAAAGCAAACTTTTTCAGTGAAATACATTATATTCTTATTTGTATGCTGTATGATGTTATAGTGATAGTTTATTGCTTTGATCAGTAGCAGATGTTTAAAATGTTACTGCCCTGTACTCTATGGGTTATATTTATAAAGCAGTGAAGGTGACTTTCACCATTCACAGGTGGTGAATCCACCACTGTCATTTAAAAACATGAACCAAGAGGATTCAACTGCAGTGAGTGTGTGGCGCATGTCAGATTAACTGCTTTGGAAATGTGCCCTTTAGCTGCAGGGAATCCATTTTTTGTTGTTGCCCAATTGGACTTTGAAGCACAAGTAAACCGCCAGCACAAAACAAAAATGTTGGGCCCCCCAGTAGCTGTTTTTTATAATGTGCTAGTATACACAGCATATTGCACATTATGGCAGACGTACCTTGCAAGTGATCCTCACAGTGTTGCTATGTCAGCGTTCCTCTTCAGCCTCTTGATTGGCCTGGGCTAAGATGACGTAACTCCCACAGATGTGCATGGGCGTTACTGCATCATGGCACTCAACCGTGCCGAGTCTGTACACTGAGCAGCACATGCGCAGCTCAGTGTATACAAATGCTGGCAGGCTAGGATTAGCAGTTATGACAGAAGAGATATAAAGAATCTCTTCAGTCATAAAAACCCTACCCTAGTAGTAGTAGTTTAAAAAAAAAATACTTTACTTATTTCCACTTTAAATCCGTATAAAATGTATTGTGATTGCACTGCCTAACTGAATAAAACCAATTATGTACACAACATGCATGCAATATATAAAATATGTATTTAATACACATGTATTATATACACATAATAAATATGCATATTAATGTTTGCTTGTGTTGATAACACTTCTCCAAAATAATTAAGTCATTCCAACCCATCTCTGTCAGTCATGAGAATTTCCAGCAGTAGTTCAGATTGGCAATTTTGAGCCTTTGTCAATTCTGCATGAAATCATCCAATAAACTGTCCTGTCTATGCCCAGCCTTAAGAAACACATGTGCAGCTGAACAAAAGAATATTCGGGAAAGACAACATGTGAAAAACAGATTAAATAAACAACAATCCTGTACAATTTAAACCAAACACTGTAGCAAATAAAAGAAACATACTGAAGGCAAGCACTAATTGCATTTGTTTAGCTTAACTAATAGCTATAATTACCATACAAAGTGACTGATACCACTGTGATAACTGTAATTATAATGGATGTTTATTTCATTAAAACCCCCAAATTATTAATCAAGCTCAAACAACGGCACAGAATGCGTTCACCACTGAAATGAGAAGTGTACCTTTCTCCGAGCCTCCGCGTCCATTCTTCCCAGCGCTCCGAATATGGAAGGAGGAGTCATGGTTCTGGGTTGGGTGAGTGAAGAGGGGAGGAATTCCAAGTAATGGGGGAAAGAAAGCAGCGCGGGTGTGTGGATCAGTCGCTCGCCACCATTCTGTACCTCCAAAAGAAAAGGAGACCCTTCCAGTCATATATACAAATCTGATTTCTCTCAATTATATATCAAATAAAAACAGTAATATTGTTTATTTTTGTTTTGTAGACATAGATCAATCGATAGATCGATCAATAGATTGATTGATAGATAGATCGATTGATAGATAGATAGCTAATAGATAGACATAAATAGAAAGATAAGCTGACCATAGATGGCTCAAATTTGCAGCCATGGCTGACCCTGCAAGCACCCCCTGGCTTGGCAAAAGGCAATATTAAAATTGACTGAGCCAGGTGGCAAATTAACAAAGATTGCATTCTATCAGATGCAGACTCTTGTTCAGAAGCACTACTGTATTCAGGCAACCGCAGATGCCGTGGCTATTTTATACAATCGTTGACAGTGGAAAATCCTTCATCCTCTGTATTTAGCGCGGATGGGGGAATTTGATTATTTCCCCACACGCTGAATGGGACGAAAACGTGCCATGTATGGCTAGCGATAGATAGATAGATAGATAGATAGATAGATAGATAGATAGATAGATAGATAGATAGATAGATAGAGATATAGATAGACATAAGATAGATAGATACATAAATAGATAGATAGATAGATAGATAGATAGATAGATAGATAGATAGATAGATAGATAGATAGAGAGAGAGATCCGATATAGATTTATAGTAGTTCTTTAAAACATGCCCAATAACTTGATTAGGGCAACTAGCATTTATATAGAGTTGGTGTGATGAGCTGGCATGTTTTATTTTATTATTACATCAAAGTGAGTTTCCTGCTGATTTTCCAGGAACGAATACATTAGAATGGCTTGTGATTTGTGACACTCTAATAGAGCTTGAGTGCTTTCTTTATGCAGCATGTGGACAGCGAGATCACAATTTCCATAGCAATTTTTTTTTTTGCTAAAGTAGGCAATGAATGACTTGCTGATCAGAGCTCAGTATTAGATGAGAAGCCTTGGAGGTTTTCAGCCGGTATAATGGAGCCTAAGCATAGACGGCACAACTCCAGTGGCCGCACTAAGCCTAACAGAACGGCGCTGTAGATTACAGTATGTACAATGGCTCCCTACAGGGCAGTACATAGTCAATGATTTCAAATGTCTTTGGAGAACTACAGTAACAAGTACCATTCATTTTCTCCAAAGAGGCTAAAATAAGTGGAAACAACAGCTGGAGATCGCATAGCTTCGGAGATTGTATATATGAAACCTCTGGGGTGCCCATGGCACAACATAATATGCCCTCAGAGGTAGCACAACTACTCGCTGGATAACAAAACTTTCTTATGTTACTTATCATACAAAAATAAGCTGTCTCGGAGGATGCAAAAAAAAATAGACTTCTCCTGGGTAACAGGCACTGAAATTTTCATGCTCCTGATAATGATCTAGGCTGTGTACCCTGCCTGGCGATTGATGGAATGTCATTATAGGTGTTCTGATATTCAGGCTATGCAAGAAAAAAACATTTCCTTCTTACAGACCAGGAAAAAGCTGTAGATATATTTCTATTTTAATAGTGTATTAGTGAAGACTTATTTTGAGGTTATATTATGAAAAATGGCTCTGTAGCAAGGGTAGGCTTGAAACTTCCCAGGTTACCATTGTTATGGCAGGTTTTGTGAACTACAACTCTCAGCAGGATCTGATGAGCTACAGCTGGCAGGATGCACTCAGAATATCAGTTTGACTAAGGTGGAGAGACACAAATGTAATGCTGTTCTTATAGCCATATAGTTTGGAAAGTATTAAAGCCCGAGACAGCCACGCATACAGTATATTGAGCAAGGTCAGCAGTGGCTGCCCTTCTACTTGCAATGGCCTCCTATTTCCCTCTTGGATGGTTTCCTTTAAAGGGAATCTGTCACAAAGTCAAATAACTGTGTGAGAGACCTCTAATACAACCTTTAAAGAAGAACGCCGGAAAAATAAATAACTTACTATTACTCACATATATTATGTATATAATATGTTGGCCTGGCTTTGGAACTACAAATCCCAGCATGCTCTACAAAGATTACACAACTGGGCAAAAGTGTAGGGAAATAAATAATGTGAACAAATTATGTTTATTTGCACTTTTTACCTGGAAAATGTGTTAGCTGCGGATGTGCTGCTAAGGCTGTGGGTGTTCCAAGTGTTCCCAAACCACCAAATTCTGAGTGTCCTGAGCTGGCTGCGTGTAGGCCGAAGACTGGATGGGTGATCATTGGAAAGGCACTGGACAGATTGAACGGCTGCTCTCCAGAAGCTCTGAACAAGTGTCCTGCAAAAACAGACGCAACATATTAGATTACTAGGCATGGAATCTCAGATGTGCAGCCATTATGGTGAGCATTGAAATGTAATTATATCATTGATTTTTGCCACATTGTGAACACATTTATTTTTTGCTGCTTCGAGTAGTTTTTTACGTAAGGCACACATAGGGGCATAATAACAATGAGTAGGTAAATACACTTGTTTGCCTATATTTGCATGCAATCGTTGGCCATTGTGCACGCTCAACTAAGTTCTGAATTTCCCTAGCTGCGGGCGTAGAGGGCAAATGTATGCCAAAAGTGATCAGATCTTTAGAAAATGTATGCGGGGGAAAAGTGTAAAAGGAAAAATGGCAGGTTGTCCATAGGAATCAAAGGGCAAATCATGTCATAAGACAACTTGGTACTGTGGGCTGCTACTAGGATGTTACTGAGACCCGGATTTCCCATTGAAGCATGTGAGATTATGCAGCAAATAAATGGCAATTACTTTGCTATACAACCATAGAGAACAATGGTGAGTGGTCAATAAACCAATGATTGACCCCCTATGCCACAAAATGTATTTCTGCTTCTGCTTATATTACATATGCAGTCTAGTGTTGCAAAATTGCTGTGACCTACAGCTGTTCTCAAAAGTATATTCTCTTTCAAAATACCATATCTTTTCATGGTTTCAACAGCTCTATATTTAAAGGAATCTGATGGCTGTCATTGTTGACCTCTGCTTCTTCAGCAGCTTCAGTGCTCGAAGTAACTGTCTTGGAACAAGTAGGCAGGTTGGGAGTCTTGACTTTACTATTATTTTTCTGACCTGTGTGCTGTTTCAGGTCATTGAATCAAAGTCCTAAACCTAGACACAGCCAAGGCAGGAGCATCTTCAGAAGGAGGTCAACAATGACACTCATCATTTTCTTCCAGTACAGGTTTCCTTTAAAGCCTTGGTTCTCAACTGGTGGGTCGCGACCCCGTGATCAGTGGGTCGCTGCGTGCCTTACACTTTTTTAGGTAAGAGTCTCCTCAGCTTCTTCCTAGCACAACACAGTCAGTTCTCGCACCAAGCAGCATTCAAAATATGCTGCCCGGCTTGAGGAGGGGTGGGATGGGGCTATGGCCGTGAGGGAGCTCCATCCATACGTGCATTGCTTACAGCTGCCTCGCATGTCCTATAGAGGTGCCTGGAACGGAGTGATGTCATATTCAGGCTCCTGGCACCTCTACAGGGCATGCAAGGGAGCTGTACAAGCAATGTACATATGGATGGAGCTCGGTCATAGCACAGCAGCCCACCCTGGACCCCAGCCTGAGGATCCACTCCAGTTCTCGTAAACTAGGGAGATTGGGTGGATCTTAAAAAAAGAAAACATAAATTTTTTTTTTTTAGTGCGTATGTGTGTGAGAGAATGTCTGTTTGTGAGTGTGTGAGATTGTCTGTGGTTGTGTGTGTCTGTCAGTGTTTTTCAGGACCCGTTCACAATAGTACAGTGCATTAATCGCACAGTCCCATGCGATTAATGCGCTACACCACGCAATCGCACCTACTGTGCGTTCTGCTGTGGGAGGTGCGCTGCCTTGCCATTCACTTGAATAGCATCTGAAACGCACCCCCCACCCAAAGTTCGATCACCCGCACCGGAACACGTGGTACCGCAATGCCATGCGTTCCATTGCAGTGCGACTTGGGTCGTGTCTTAATGACCAACAACAAATGTGGGTCCTGAGGTTACACAGGTTGAGAACCACTGCTTTAAAGGGACTGTGTTCTGAGTTAGGAAACTCTCACAAAGCAGCAACTTCAAAAAAAGTGGGTTTACACTTACCTGTCCCGCTTTTCCTCCAATCTTAACTCTGTTCTAGATCTACGGCTGCCTGAACAAGCTTCATATTTTACACTTCTAGTAGTATTGGACACCCTCGTCCCCTGCAGCATACTATGGTTCCTTCTGCTGACCCCTACATAAATATCATGTCCTGAAGTGACACAGGGGCCAGCAGAAGGAACTATAGCGCACAGTGGGGGATCTGGCATCGGACACACCCTGACGAGTGTGAGATATGAACAGATTGTTGCTCCGCAAGTGAGCGAAGATTAGAGGAAAGGCCGCAGGGACAGGTGAGTTTAAAGCCTCTTTTGCAGGTCTTACTTTATTACAGTTTTTTTAACCCAGTGGCACAGTTGCTTTAAAGCAGCATCCTGGTTTTTTATTGTACCTTTTTTTTAATATTTATTAGATTCTTGCATTTACATAGCTCAAGACAGCAGGACTTCGTCTGCCTGACAATTATTACAGCGGGATTCACACAATAGCAAAGCAGCTAAAACGCATGACACCGAAATAAAGTCATATCATACGGCTTTACGTCTCTGAGCATTCTTTCTGTGTCCCAAATGCTAAATATAAAAAGATCAATTGAGCTTTTTTCCCCCGATATGATATGCTCTTCCTTTCCTGTCTTTTGTACTGCAGTTTTTACAGCCTGTCTAGACAAAGGTCTTTGCATGGGCTGAATCCTTGCAAAACAACACTAATTATACCAGAGACCCTTAAAACTTGCGTCCATCTGCCCACATTACAGAGCATTACCGATAATGCTAGTTATACATTTATGGTGACAAAGAAAATACCTACTTAACTTAGCAATTAGCTTTCATCTTAGCTGTATTCCTGTATGGCTCTCTCACTCTCTCTCTCTCTCTATTTCTCCCCCTCTCTCTTTGCAGCTGTAATTTATAGTTTGCATAGTAGATAAAATGTCCCCAGGAAATGGTACAATGAGACGGCGCAGCAAAAAAGAGGGAGAAAAAAAGAAAAAGCTTCTGCTGAGATGTTACACTGGAGAACCGCCCCCAGCAGCCGCATGATATTAGGCAGATTTAATAAATACATTTGTTATGCCGAGTCTAAATCCATGTAAAGAGGCAAAATAAAATTACTTAAACAACATGCGGTCTGCTCCAGTGACATTCTACTGAAATAACCATAAAAATTGTGTACGAGTGTAAAGCTGCATGTAAAGAAAATAATAGTCCACCTTGCAATTGTCAAGAGTGAGGGAAAAAAAATATCAGTGTATATCAGTGTATCAGTTTATCTAATGAAGCAAACATCAATGTTTAAAGTGCAACCAATCAGAATGTATTTCACATTCATTTGACTGCAATACACAGAAAGGGTAAAAGTTAAAAAAAACTTTGCACATTGTAATTGTTCTTAAAGGATGAGCGCAAGTTTAGGGCTGGTTCACACCAGCCACAGTGCGTTCCAGACCGATTGAGGACGGAACGCACTGTATTGCACTGCGGGCGGCTCACTTTGTGTTGGGGCGGAAGGGAGCGTGTCGATGCACTGAACTCAATAGCACCGCAGCCACGCCCTCCGGCCACAGTGCGATTGGCTGCACAGGAATGCGTGGTAAATCAATGCCTGTGCTTAAAGTGTATTTCCACTTTCACAGCCAAATTGGGATAACACATATTTTATATGTGTTACATGTTCCCATTCATATAGCAGTGTAAGTTGCTTTTACTTGGGTTAGGGTTTCTACTTGGCTTCTTAAGGGTTCAAATTTCTACTTGCTTCTCCTTCTCTGTAATGTTAGAAGGGGCTGTGAGGGGTGAGGAGTTTGCATTGTATGTTAATGAAGTTAATGAGAGAAACACAATCCTCAGATTTCAGTTCTTAAGCTCACAATACACTAGTAGATTTCCGAACAAACTTTAGTACAAATGATCATTCTTTAACACGCATCAGACACTTGACAAATATCGATCGCAATTCTATTTGTTTTTAACGTTTGATTTAGGAATGAATGGCGTTTCCCGAAAGAAAACCACATTTACTGTTAGAATTTCGTTCCATCGGGAAAAAGTTTGCATCCTGCTCTTTCTACCACTATGTTGATTTGACCTCATCAACTAATAGAAAGCCAAACGAAAAGTCTTTGTCTAAGAACAGATTACTGTGAAGGTGCTCAGAACAACCTGGGTTCAGCTATGTTGCCTGCTGCAACAACACATCTAAAAGGTAAGAAATATTTTTTAAATTTTTTTAAAAAATTCTGTATGCTCTGCGAATGTGAACACACAACAAACATATAGAGGTGTTTTCCCAAATTTGACTGCTGAACCCTGTGCAGATATAAAAATTCCATCAAACTAGTTTTGCATTTATTGAAAAAGAAAAATGCCATTCACATTAATACATTACATGGTACCACTGTGTTGCAGTGCAGTTCATTTTAAATGACACCACAGCACTCTGTCAAAGTAACACATATGCTGTGCGTTGCTGTGCGCTGAGTTAAAAAAAAAAAAAATAGGTCATGTCCAACTTTCAGTCCATTCAGAATTAATTATTTAACGCCCTCCAATGGCCCAGAGAACTGTAAATGGGCCCTAAATGTATTTTTAAATGGAACAGGCATACAAATCCGAATCTGTCATTTATGGAGCCTTACATTTTCTTTCCTGTAATCCTGCTAGTTTTGACAGTTTTTTGAGTGTTATCAACACAGAGCTTAGGCAGGAGATAGGACGGCCACTACTCTGATTGGACATGTCTGCACTGACAGGGAGAGAATACTAGTAAGTAATAAAATACAAGTAATTGCTGGTAATAAGGTTAAACCATTTAACAACTTAAGAGTGGAGATTAGGTTTATTATAGTTGCCTATAGGTGAATGGCTTAAAGTGGACCAATCGGTAAATTTACTGACTCTAAATACATTTCTTACATATCACTGTATTAAACATCCAAAAGGTGCATCTACATCCATAGCAGTTCAGGCAGCTATCATGGAGCCTCAGGGGTGGCCTAGCCAGGTTGGGGGTGTGTAGGGCTGAGATTGTTGACACTTCTCTATAAAGTAGTGCTGCCGTCAGTATTAATCACCTGTAGAGATGTGAGGGGGGTGAGGACCATGCTTTGTTGGCCTGAACTAACTGAAGGATCAGAGGTTAAAAAACAGTGTGCAGTCATCCTGGCTGGAAGCGGAACAGGATGC